TCAGAATCAGAATAAAAAGAACATCAGAATCCCCGTCGATCTCTATCGTTCAGAGGGGACTTGTACAACACTATATTAGTTAGACCAAAATGCGACGTGCTTACTTCGACTTGTTCACGAATGAGGCCAAAATCCAATTCGAGAAAAGCGATACCAAGCTCAAGACCAGGAAGAGAATACGGCGAGGAAATAAATCCCGTTATCTTGGATACAAGGCCGAGTCTCCGCGGAAACCCTTANGTAAATGTTCTAAAATGTATTCATATTAGCCTAAAAAAGAGAGTCAATATCAAAACGGTAGGCCATGGCAAACAACAAACGTGTGACGGAAGAAAAACGATCGAGAGAGCACGTGGTCATGGAACGAATCGCAGGGCAGTCACGTACCTCCGCTACTTGATTTATTGAAAAGGTCTAATCAGAGAAGTCATTTGCGCTTTCCCCACATTGCCTAATAAACATGCAAAAAACCATGACAAAGGAGTGTATATCGTGAAAGTGAGAAGGTAATTCACCATTGATATGATTACGCATTTGTCCTTCACTGAAGCTGAATCCCACTTTTCAAAAGCACTGGATTTCCAAAAGAAAACGGAGCTACTTTTGAAGGACATAAGTCGAAGTCGAACACTCTGTTGCTTATATCCCAACGTCACTTCAGCAATTCCTCCTAGTTTCCCTTTTCTGAAGCATACCAGAATACCACCTTCTCAAATTACCCAACTCCTCTCGAAACCAACAAAATGTCTTTCACAAAATGACTCGTCGATGGTGCTGCTCGTCCGTTTTCCCTTGTTACTGTGGCATATCTGAAACGCACTTTTGAGTGGTTTCGTTCTTTATCAAGTGCAACTTCTTAGTGGTGTTTTTTGCTCTCGAAGATCGAAAATCGCGAGCGATCACGCCAGGTTGAGAGGCTGCGGCGTCCCTTCTTCATAGAACCGGCTCTCGCTACTGCTATTTAGATATTACTGAACGCACCTCGAGTGGAATTCAATCAGCATTCGACAATCGCCAATTCATATGCCCATTTTGCGTCCGAAATCGCCGTCACTGCATGGTCATCTCGTACACGGGACGGGTTTAATGAACAGAACATGTCCCGCACACAGAGGCAACTCTTGAGCAGGACAGGGAACCGTGCTCATAGCTGAGCCCGCAATCGTGGAAAAATTCATAGAAAGTGAATGTTGAAACAATAACTTGAAAAAGCATTCCTGTAATGAGAAGCCTGAGAACTGAAAGGGAAAATGTCAATGACACATGGCCGAGCGTACGAAATCGAAATGTTCGAGACGACAAAAACAGTGGCGCAATGACTTTTCTGATGTTGACAAGCTGAGCTGAAGCTGTTCCAGTAGAAAACTCATTCAGGAGTGAGTAAAGCAGCTGGCACACGGATATAAGGACCAACACACACACAACGTGCTAATCTAGCAACACTGGCAAGCGGTTTTCCAGCCCCATGACAGCAAGTTGGCAAGAAAGGATCTGCTCAATCAATTCTTGCAAGAGTAGCAACTAAAACACAGCTCGATTTACAGTATAGAGATTTTTCAGTTCAGTCTACTCCCGATCCCCTTTGTTTCCTTAGCCAACGTTTTTAAGTGGGCAGAAAAGAAAAGAAACTTTCACTATATTGAACAACCCCAGCAAAAATAATCAGCAGCAATAATTTGTAAAGCTGCAGGAGTAGCAGATTGAGCTGGGAGGTTACGGCGGCAGCAGGCGGCTCGCGAAGGCAGGAATTTCTTAAGAAAATCAGGGACACACTGCAAAATCATCCAAAATAACGCTTGCCAACTTGCAACGTCCTCAAACGAGCAGTGAAGTAGTTTTCTCAGAAATCAAAAGCTTTGCTGTAGGTCAACCGTTGGCACCGGTATATGGGTAGAATAAAAGAGCTGTAATCAGAATGTTATCCTTCAAAGCAATGTAGATAGACCGATAACCGTTTCATTATAGCGCAAGTGCAATTCAAAATGGACCAGTGTTTCGAAATCGTGAATGAATGATCATATTCAACACACTAATCCTAGCACTACGCGATGACTTCCTCCTTTATCTCAACACATGAGTGCTAGTTCTGGGGATATCTTACTCCACGCTACAGCGGTTTATCCAAGCCGTTTAATATGTAGCCGTCAACAACTCGTTGGGAACAGCAACAAGTATCTATGCACGGGTGAAGCTGAACGTCAGATATCACAAAGTCAACTTGTGACATAGCTACTGTGAATGGTCATAAGGTAACGAGACTGTCGAAAGTGGACGTAATGAGACTACGCGTTAGGTCAAATTACCACTGTCTTCCTTTATCTCCGATGAAATTAGCACTGCAATGCAACATGGCAATTTCAGGGCCCATCTAGTAACCAACCCTAACAACATTAAGCGATGTCAGTTAGAGACCGTTTCCGCGAGAATCAGCGCAAAGCAAATGATGGCATCATATGCCCTTACGGAAAAAAGTGACCCCACTGATGGCTGGAATCTTTTAGAAAGAATGTCGGATGTGTAAGAACACGAATTGAAAACACCTAGCTGCTGAATCGGTGAATAGTTCCATCCACAAACCAAGCACAGTTCAAGAACATCATCATCGTTATAACGAGGTCGAAACAAGAGGGACCTTGGAACTTACGCAAAACCTATTCCGATTGGTTGTGATATGGCTTCACCCCACCTTCACCTTCTGCTATGCGAAGAGAGTTCCTTCCATGTTCTGTGTATGGGAATAACCAATTCAGCAGGTACTATAATTCGGTAGGATCAAGACCCTCTACTAATATGAGTTGCGATGTTAA